TGCGGCCCCAAAGGGTTAGAGGTACGTCGCTTTTCCCTGGCTGGATAAATTGTTGCTTTCTCCTAGAACCTACCGAATCCCATAGCCACTACTGGTATTCATGAAGGCAATATATCGGAGGTGGATCAGTCTGTTCTTCGCACCTGACTGAGCTTGGTCGAGGTATACTGGTCTGTTGCATATAAGTAACGCTTTCCCTCTTTCTTTCGACTATTTGATAAGACCTACTTGGCTCGTTCCTAAGCTCCCAGTGGGTATTCATACCACTGTTCTGAGGACCTCCAACATACTGAATATGTATTGCCAGCGTATACAATAGTAGAAAACCTCTCGATCGAAGCTATATGAAGGCCTCTCTTGAACTAGACCTAATATTGAGAAAGTTGGTGCGTACATTCCACCTCCGGAAACAAGCAATGTGGGATTAATGTATAATCTCGGGATAGCTTTTATCCCTCATTGGTTTTCCTATGCTGTGATGAAATGCAAAGGCTTCAAAAAACTAGCTTTAGTCCCTAGTAAAGGTAAGCTACCTAGTACGTGAACACTTTTCAAAAATCTTCCGTGTCTGAAGGATCAAATCCTCTGCTCGATTCTAATTCAAGCCCTGCTTCAAGTTCATCTTCTCTTCCTGCCCCAGGGCTGAAGCCATTCCTCGACCCCAGTGCTTGACTTCTGCAATTCAGAGGCTCAAAGGGCAAGGGTTAATATTGTAGATGACAAGTCGACCTATCCCTCGTATGGTAAACTGTTGGATTTGTTCAGTGCGTTGGGGACGAGTGGTGCGTTGGTCAAGAAAGATGAAACCGATGTGGCCTTTTGCTAGACAATCATCTGAACGGATAGGTACAAACTACAATCAGTTTGGACAAATGCCCCGAGCAAATCAGGTAGCTTTCAATAAACGTAAATGCGAGCAGTGGAATCCATCTCACAGAGAGACATTACTCCCAAAGGCCATACCACTTTCTGTCTTGCCCATGCTTACAATCCGCTACAGCTAAACCCCGGCAGACATCCACTTCACAGCAATCGGCGGATGACTGCTGCTCCTGATCCTCTGATCCTTGGACCACAATTGAAAAGCCAGGTCTGCAGGTCCGACCACCACTCTGACGCTAAACGTGCCCTTCCAGAAGACCGGCTTTCGATTGTACCAGTGGCGGTTCTTCAGCTTCTTGTCTACTCCTTCGGTCGAAATGTGCAGGGTGCATACCCGCTCAACCCCCTTGTGGGACATACTTTTCGGGAGCAGCGCGGGGGGATACAGTGACATGACAATGTGGACCTGGAAAGTCTCAGCTTCCCGGCCGGGCTCCAGTTTGAGCTGGAACTCCTTTGCGAATCCGGTTGGAGGGACTGGTGAGCCCTGCTGCTGTTAATACATATGTTACTTTTTTTCTGTATTGCCTACGTACCTGGACAACCAACCAATCTACCTGATCAATTGCATAACTGAGCTGATCGTGCGGATCCTGGCGGATAAGCTCCCCCGCGTGTTTCTCTGGGATGTAAAGCTGGTCGCAGATGATCCCGTAGCTGACCGGAGAGCATCGGGATCCGAAAGTGAGGACACCTTGCTTAAGTAGCTGGATGCGATCAAGGACTAGACCGTGGACAACGGCAAGCTGTCTTTGCCTTATCAGCACTGGCAATTAGTTGTCGACACAAGACTCACGGTTCCTCGGCCATTAAAATCCGCATAGCCGTGGTATTGCCGTGTCCATTTCCAATCTCGCTGCCGTACCTTTCCATCAGTCGTTTGCGAACATACGGTGAGCTACCAAAACCCCCCGACAGAATGAGGTATGACTGGATGGGTCAGTTCAGGGTTAAGATCAGCCTGGCTGTTGACGTACAATGCGTTCAGTTGCGAATCGATCATGCATGTGTCGGATTTGGCCATCAAGCAGGTCGAACATCTCGACTATTTTTGCGTCAAAGCATTGTTGCAAATCATCCCTGGCAGATTAGCTATCATCTTGTACACTGTTTGCGAACGCACCCGCCACATACCAAGAGATGCTCATCTGGCCGTCGTAGACCTCTGCGTCAGGGAGGTCAGCACCCGGCTTGAGGCCGGGGACGTCTAATCTGAGGCTTGGGGTATTTGCTGCTGCAGAGGTACCAAACGCGCATTTGAGTCTTTGGAATCGGCCGAGGATCATCCTCCATGCTGTGTGCGATGGAGACATATCCAGTCTGTCATGAAGCTTGGATAGCCGCCCGCAAATAAGACTATGCATCCCGCGGTCGATAAAAACAGAGCCAATAGGCCGTCCTAACTAGGATTAGCTGTTGACTTTGAACAATTCTGAGAAGACATACCCTCAACGCTGCCGAACTGATCGAGTTTCGTTGGCTCGCCCCGGGCGGACTTGAGTTGGAGAATGTTGACATCCTCCACAGTTAGCAGCTGCTGATCATGGATTACGGGATCACGCTCTACTTACTGTGGTTCCACCTCCTGCATCACAAACGAGGACGATATCATTCATCTGCAGCAGTTAATACATTGATCGCAGGTTCCGTGGACAGTCTCACCTGATAATGTTCCTTGCAAGCATACACAGCTGCAGCCTCAGCCTCAGTGAGCCCAATTACGGCGCGATTATTTTCTGGGGACGTCCCCGGACTGCTCATGTTGATCGCTCGCTGCAGTAGGTGACGCGTTTCTTCAACCATACGGACATCCTTCCATGTTGTGGGCACGCTGAATACCCATTCGACCTTGCAAGCAGCAAAGGAGGGAAGAGTGTCTCTGAAATGCGCGGTGACATGCTGGCATACGCAACGGATATAGTCCTGGAGCCATCGCTGAGCCTCTACCCGTGTGATCTTTCCGTCTGGGTGAGCGCCAGGAGCAAGGTGCAGCTTGAAATACTCCTTGATGTCCGAGGCTGGGTCCTCGGTGTTGCAGAGAAACCCCCATGACTTGACGCTGTGCGAAGAAGATTCATATTCAATTGCAGTGGGCGCTTTGTTGGCCAGCTCGCTGATGAGCTTGCCCGGCCACCGCTGGATGGTCCTCGGGGGAAGCCATTCTGGGCCGATTGAATAGGCGACTCCTATTACTCGTGAGCGTCTGGCAGATCCAAATTTATTAAAGATCTGTACCTGTGCAGGTCATCCCAAAATCAACCCCAACTACGATATCCGGTCTCCAATCATCGTCCCAGGGTTTATGGACTGCCACAACTTCCTTCTCGTCCATTGTCAACCACAAGAGAAGCGCTGGCCACGGTCGAGGTTTTTCGCGACCTTACTTCCCTGGAGATATGGGACAAAAATACCGTTGGCGGAAAGGTCATGGCGTTGGGAATTGCTGGGTCGAGAAATTGCGGCGCGGCTACAGCGCGGCATCTCCTGACCAGGGTTGTTGATGCTCTAGCGAGTCAGCGATGAGCCAAGATTGTTTACCAGTCTCGAAGTGGAAAATGCGCCGCAAATCACAGCCTGGTTGAATCCAGACTGATTCTCTTCCATGAATTGGGTTGGTTCACTAAGCCGGATTCGAGGATGTGCATGTTTCCAACCCTGCAGGGTTACAATCTCGTTTCATAAGAGTAGCCAAGTCCCCTCGCTGTATTCCAAAGTGCGCGTACATCCGCCTGAATCTACTCACAGAATGTCTACTTCTACAGCGTCCTCCACGAGCACTTACACAACGACAACAGAGTCTGCTTCGTCGAGCACGACATCGTCCTCTCCTCTACCCGGCCAGGAATCGACCACACCAACATTGACAAGTGCGACTGCGACATCCCTATCAAGCTCAGGAGCAGTGTCAACCAGTACATCAATACCAGGCTCTCCCTCAGCTTCATCGCCGATCACCTCCGTCACATCCCCTAGCATCTCTCTCAACTCGAGCAGCACAATTGCCAGCTCTACTGCGTCAAGCACCGCGACTAACCAACCCAGTCTTCCCCAACCGTCGCCAAACAATGTGAGCAGAGGCGCTCTAGCCGGGGCGATTGTCGGCTGCATCATCGGCACCGCCGCACTGACAATCCTGGGTGCTTTTCTCTTCTTCCGTCGGCGCAAGAAAGGCGCACGCGCGGGCCGTTCAGAGCAATTCTCCAAAGATAAACCACCGCAGCATCCATCACTACATCTAGGTGCATCCGCATCCTCGCTTTATACCCCTCACCCAGCCGACGACGAGACAGTACGCGCGCGGATCCTCACGCTGTTCGACCATGCCAGTCTCCACGTCGACAACTACTACTCTTCCGCAGCAGCATCCAGTCTGCACGACCCGGCTACGTCTCTTGCAAGCTACGAGTCCCCGTACCTGCCGTCACCGATTGCAACCTTGCTGGCTAAACCAGGCAGACATCGCGCGGTCCTCACGCATATCCTTGTTCGGGAATTACTACAGCAGATCACCCCCGGGTCTGGAAAGGGGGGTCTTCTCCCTGCATGTTACGCGTCATGTCCGCAAGTCGTGAATCAGACACCAGGTAGCGTACGCCTTGCGTACTGCAATAGACGTTGAGAAACTGACATGCCGCAGAGACAGACCAAGTGCTATTTAAGTGGCGTATGCTGACAGCGTACCTCTACCAGCGCCAACAGGGAGCTCGCGACGTGGACGAGCATGCTATCAGTGGGCTTGCAGAGCCATTTGTCGACGTTTTCACTGGGTATGCCAATCCCGCGCATACTAGGGCAGAGCGCCTCCAGCATTTAAGGTCCATAGCCTCCGCTGCGGCGGAATTGGGTCGGTGGTTGTTCGCGCAGCCCTGTGCGTTTGAGTTTGTCTGGGATTATCCAGGAAGACAGGGGATGGTAATTACGCCGAGGGTTGTCAAGGTCTGTGATGAGCAGGGACGGCGGTTGGTGGTGCCGCAGGTCATGGCGGAGGGGACATCGTTGTAGCCGGTTGCCTCAAATCAGCTTCCATGATGGACGAGACGATCAGTCAGAAGTTGCCAGTATCCTCATTATGTGCAGTATGCAGTATGCAGTATTAAGAGTCATCCAGAAGAAATACACTATTCGTAGCAGGCCTGCGCCTGCACCGGAACCTCCTTAGCATCCTCAGCCACTAACCGCCCCCTACGAGAAACAGAGCATAAAATGATCGAAAGAATTCTCTCCCATCTGCAGCAACCCCCATTAGTCTCGTGTATACCCAGCGACTGGACTAGCACACTCACGCAACAAGAATATTCAACGCAAAGACGATAATCTCCGCCTGCGCCGACACCGACGGGTAATCATGATAGTAAAGCCCCAGGTAAAAGGCAAAGTCCCCTGTTGAGATGGAGACAGCCCCGATAGCGCAGAGGATGATGACCAGGATGTCAAGGATGGCCGTCGCTGTGATGAAGCCGATATACCGGAAAAGTAAGAACAGAGCGAGGATGTCTGTGACGATTGCCAGAGAAGCCTGCAGTCATTAGATTTTGCCAAACGAAAAAAGGTGTGTGGCTCACCGTGGCTAGAACGATGGGAAGCACAATCGGGGGCTCTTCATTATCTCCTCCCCAGCCTGCTGCTAGGCGTGCTGTGACGGCCAGAAGAGCAATTGCAGATGCGCAGAAGATGATACGCAGGCCGAAGTGAATCCAGTCTCTTCCGCGGAGGGAGGCGGTGCCTGCCATGATGCTGTACAGCTGTGGAGGGTAGTGAGTAGACAGAATTAAGAGTTGGAAGTGGGCATGAGAGGCTCATTTAAGAAAAGGAAGAACGCCTAGCACATGTGAGACACAGCGAATCAGCTATATTTGTTACTATTTTGCTACGGCTTAGGATAACACTACGTTAGCGTAGCTTAGAGCCCTTGATCAGGAGGCTAGATCATCTTCGTATAGCCAGACCTGGTTCACATAAATGGTGTGTATACATATATCTAAACTTCGTGAAAAGGACAGGATATAATCCCTTTGGTCACTGACGGAACGACGAAAAGCAACTACAGAAAGGATTATGATCAAAACTCTTCCATCCTCACGCATTGAATGGCTGTAAATTTTCGAATCTAACTGCCAAGCACAGAAACGAGCCTGGACTCAGCTATGACCGTTTAGAGCGCAGCTAAGTCTGGCCTAAGACAACTAGTGCCTCTGGTGCCTGAAACTACTCCGGTTTAGTAGAAAGCTTCAAGAATAGCTTAGCACAGGGTCCGTAGGGGCTCTCATCCAACCAATCATCACGCAGCAACCAGAATTCATCTCGCTTAAATCCGACCTCCTTTTTACGTAGTTGATTTGGTTTTGGTTACATCGCTCGTAATAAATTCTCATTGCCCACTATCACATCATGAGTTTACCAATGTCCTCGTCAGCCATCACAGCATATACCTGAACAGAGGCGACCGATCCCCCATCATGGCCAACTGAGCGTTACCATAGCCCGAGACATCCATCTGATCCCGTTTCTTGTTGATGCGCTGATACGAGAACCGCAGGATCACCACTGCAATGATTCCCACCACCGCAAACCCCAGCTCCAATGAGTGTCCCAGAATATACTTGGGGGCGTCCTGCGCGCGGTAAAAGTTGGATGCCATGGCTGCAAACATTAGCATTTTTTAGCATTTCTCAAAGCATCAAGATACTTACCACCCGCCATATTACCCAACCCGATATGGATAGCCATTCCGGCCGCACGCTTGTAGTCGCCGGCCAGGTTGACGCTGAGCCAGGTGACGTTTCCTGGGAAAGCAGGATAGATACCTGTCTTGTCAGACTGGTGCTTTTTTGGTGGGGAATGAAACTTACCGACGACGGCGACGAAAACACCAAAGTAGACAACCCCTGGCACTCCCCGACCGGTGGAGGCAATGACAATGATGAAGCCGATGGCAATCAGAGACATGAAGAAGAGAATGAATGGAGATCGCTGCTTGCGACGATCCGATAGCCAGGCCGCACCGATAGCTACAATGGCTGCCGTGATGTAGATCGGCACGGTGAGCAGCTGCGCCGTTGAAGACTTGTACCCTAGATCCTTGATGATGGATGGCAAGAAGTACGAGATACCGTAGAGAGGGGTGGTGATTCCCCAGTACACTGATCAATTAGTCTAACGAGTCGTCGAGCAACGGAGAGGAGAAACATACTGAACAAAGCCACGTAGATCTGCCAATCCGTCAGCGCATCAGTCACGTAGCGTACGCGGAATCGCGATTCCTCATGGTCTGTCCCGTCTTGCGTGGTGTCGCGTCCGGATTGAGCCCGCAGTTTGTGAATCACCCATCGGCGCTCTTCCTCGGTCAGAAAGGTGGCCGTCTCAGGGAAGTCGTGAATCGCAAAAGGGGCGACAAAGGCAACAGCAACTGTCAGAAGTCCTTCCAGGATGAAAATCCAGCGCCAGCCGGCATACCCGCCCACGCCGTCCATTTTCTATTCTCCGTCAGCTTCGTCCTCGAAGGAGACGCAGAGACATACACCAATCGCGTAAGCGAGAAGTCCCGAGAAAGCACCGGCGATACTAGCCGAGCTGAAGAAGAGAGCCTGGCGGTACTGGGCTTTTTCACGGGGATACCACATGGTGATGTAGTAGGCGGTGCCAGGGTATAGACCAGCCTCTGCGCAGGTCAGTATGATAATTGCATATCAATATTGTGCGAACTCACCAGCAACACCGAGGAAGATGCGCGTGGACAAAAGCCCAGCATAGTTGTGAACAACGCCCATCAGCGTCTATCTCATCAGCAGGAGTTCATCCTCAGTTGCAGCAAACATACCATGACAATCCCCCAAGAAATCATCAAAAACGGCAACCATCTCGACGGTCGCAACTTTTTGAGCAGCAGATTACTCGGCATCTCAAACGCACAGTACGTGAAAAAGAACACCGTTACTGGATATTGTCAGCATATTTCTCAACCTTTGAGTCAAGTGACATACAACACCAGCTATACTCCTGCGACGTCAACCCCAAATCCTCAACCAACCCTTCGATCTTCGCGTTCCCGATATTCCCACGGTCAAGAAACGCCAATAGATATAAAATAGACAGCATGGGAATCAACCGCAGATCCATCTTGCGGAGGACCCGTTTCTCCTGCTCCGGCGTAAAGTGGGGGATTTGCTCCGCATCATGCGAGTGTTTTTCGCTGACGGAGGAGACGGGCGTTTGCGTTTCGGCCACGTGCTCGACCCCCATTGTGGTGGGTTTCTCGATATCGGTGTCGGTATTGTACATGGCGATAGTACATGGGATGCAACCGTGGTGAAGAAAGAAAAAAGATGCAGGGTGTCGATCTACTTATATCGATAGATTCCAGGTTTCCCCGTGTTGATCGCTTACCCCAACTTTTACCCCAGACTGTGGGGTATTCCCGCTGTGGGCTGGATTTCCCGGTGGCTCTGACGGGGCTATTCCGCTGCCTTGCTGTCATTCCAGTGCCCAGCCTTCTAGGTCTTGCTGTGGCGTGCTGGCGTCAGTAGTAAAGTTAAATACTGGTATGCTTGATGCTGATAGGACTTCAGATGCAATTTATCAGCGCTGCCAGGGTAAGACTCGTATTTATTCAGCATGGCATGATGGGTTACATTTCTATTGGTCAAAATTGAATTCTTATCCATGATCTAAGCTAATGCTAGAGACATCTCGTATGCATCCATACTCCGCGTTAAAGCCGTTGTAACTGCGACTGTTAGTATAGCAACCCGAGAGGACCGACAACATACCTGGTCCATTAGCAATAATTCTCCGAACTGCCCTCCAGACATCCACAGAAGTCACAAAGGGCGCTACAGGCCAATATTCGCGGATCGAGTTCTCAAACCCCCGAAGCACTTCCCGTTGAGGCGAATCCTCAGGCTGGTTGTCCATCACGTCAATTGCCCACTCCGCGATAACCACCCCTAGAAAGTCAGTATACTTCTGTGACGCGAAGGATATGACTTACCGCATGGGATTGCGACCATGGACGTTTGATTCCGCCGGCTAATCACCCACGGAATCATCGCGGCTCGCGCAAAGGCAGCTGCCTGGACCAAATCACCCTCACGGAGTACCTTTCGCATGGCTGCAAACTGCTTGCTGCGCATGAGGTCCATTGTCTGCCGGATGTCCACGACAAGGGAGATGCGCAGATAATATGCAGCAGGATAGCATAGATGATTGAGAGCCAGATTCTCCATACTTGTCCGGTCATGTATCTGGAACCATTGATCTAGAGCATGCTGCAGGTATGAGTTTATCTCGCCAACGTCGAGAACTGCTTCCCGTCGGAGCCCATCGATGTAGAGTAGAAGTCCGACTACAAGGCAAAGAGAGGCCAGACCGTTTAATGGCTGGGGCTTGCCGAACAGCAGCGCCTCCACATTCTCTGACCAGCTGCCAGGCGATCGACTTCTCGGGTTCTGATATAGTACATGCCATTGGACGGCTGAACGAGCATTCCACAAGGTCTCCGACCACGGAAATTCGATCAGACTGAACGGAAAGTCCAGGACATTGACGATTGGCTCGTATGCCACTGACCACAAACCACTCACAACAATGAAGCACAAAATTGATCTAATACTCAGCAATGTCGGCCACTAGTGGTAGGCATAGCTTACCTGCGGTGAGATTCTCCCTCTATGTAACTCTTCCATTTCTCCTCCACTGTGGATGCCTGATCGACGAGATCCATTGCCGGGCCGGATTCGATGACTCGCGCGAGGTTTATCAAGCTGTCAAGGCTGCCGAGGGTAATGTCGCTCTCACTAGACTTGCCTCCCGGTAGACCAAAGACACAGTTCAGCAAGAGCGTGGTGAAGATCCAGATAGGTATAGTATTGTTTTCACGGGTATAGAGTGTGTTCAACTATGATTGATAAGCCTGTGCACGGAGGATAACACAAGGTACCTACGTGATGAGCGACAATGCGACGGGAGGCCTCGAACAGCATTTGGCCATCCTCTGGTTCGTCACAGTACATCGCACCGTCGGCGAGAACACCAATAGCAATAGCTACTCTGTCAGTAAAATATACTGGAAGGGAAAGAATGTTTATACCTGGTATTTGATAGATTTCCGACTTCGGATGAGCAAACGGAAGGTTCTTATGGGGTATCTCGAAGAACATGTGCCAGTAGCGGTAGAGAGAATTCATCTCAGGGATCTTGAAGCGATGAGAATATCCTTCGCCCCCTGCGACATTGATACTCTGACCGAGTCAGCATAATCCGGTATTCATATCCTCAGACGCACCCTCAAACCCTCCAGCGCTTTCTCGATCCCCAAACGGGCAGTCTCATTCCGATCATTTTCAAAAATCGCCTCGCTTTGCGGTGTACACAGCCGTAGCGGTGTCGGAAGACTCGTAGATAACGGAGACCTATTCAATGCTGAGAGAAGCGATGCGAACTCCAGCCCGCTGGGCAGTTTCAGCCACGGGGGAGTCTCGCTTCCTGAAGGCGTCTGAAGCCGAGACTCTCGACGCCGGTCGGAGATCACAGAGTACACATTTTCTTGGAAAGCAGGACTCCCCGGAGCCCCGGTCAAGTAAAGGTTTTCATGTCGATGTGTCTCTGGCGCTAAAGGAGCGTGCAATGCTGGCCCCGGCTCCTCAACGAAGGAGGGGAATGGTGCTCGACTGGACGGGTCACCTTGAGCAGCATCGACCTGCCCTGGTGAGTATGAATTCGGATGGGTAGCTGCAGATGGCTCTGATTCTACAATTTCTGGTAATGGAATGCTTGAAGTCGCGCCATGGCGGGTGCGTTGATGGCGGTCATGCAATTCTTTTCGGGAAAAGCTCTCCCCGCATATTCGACAACGGAAAGGTCTTTCCTTGGTGTCTAATCAACTGTCAGCAAGGATTGACCAAAGGTTTGACGGCGAAAAGAGCCAAGACGTACGCCTCCTCACATGGCGCTTCAAGTGTTCTGATCGCTTGAAGCAGAGGCCGCAGTAAACACAACGGTGGGGACGGGTAGGGTTCTCAGAGACAGTCGACATGTGGGGTGTCAGTTGGGGAGAGTCCAAGACCATAGTCTCGAAGCACTCATGGGATGAACTACGATTTTGATCTCTTAACCCCAGTCATTTTCATCCTTTTCGCCAAGGACGAACATACGAGAGGTAAACTCTGGACAAATCCTGTGGGGGCGACACTGCGGGGTTGACTGATCCACATGTCTGTGCATGGTAATAGATGTAACCCTAGTACTCCGTACGTGGGAGGCTTTAGTTTCTTTTACAGGGTCTTAAAGATTCTTGATAGGTTGAGATGATTGCTATAATGGTCGTCCCATTGGATCTGCCTCGAGCACGTACATGAGAGCGCTCCCCCTCGGCGTCTTCATACTCCGCGACTCGACAATCAAATCATTTACGAAATACGTACTGTAGTAATCCTTACCATCTTCCTGGAAATCTCCTCCCCAGGTAAACGGCCCACTCGTCAAGATGACCCGCCCCGGGTTAGCAATGGACAACAACCGACACAGTTCCATCCTCAACCTCGAGATAGTCACCGCGCCCTCCCTCGCATCAGGATGAAGAACAAACATAATCTCCCATCCATGACGATTCACCCGTAATCGTTCCGTATCCGACGGCTCACGGAACGTCCACCCAGAGCTCAGACTCTGGTCGCGCGGGGAAGTCGACGATGCCGATCCCCGAGGCATCTGGCCCTGTTGCCGGTCAAAGGCATCCCGCTCGGCAATAAACGCTCGACGCGCAAAGCAAAAGCCACATTCGGGGACGTGCGAGGTCACGAGCTGCATTTCGAGCTCCGCGCCGTCGAATAAGCAGGTATGTTGGATATTTGTCTCTGGGTTCCTGGTACGGAACCAGTACACGTCATTTTCGCGCAAGAATCCGGGAAGCATCCGCACGAGCTCCTCATGCAATAGACGTCGGCAGGTGCATCGGTGGGTTATTTCTACCGAGTACATTTCCCCTTCGCCGTGGATGATGCAGTTGGCGATGTTCATGGCGGGGAATGTGAATTGGTGGTCTACACGAACACCTGTTCCACGAAATTAGCCTCTATAGTTGGAGACTTGAGTTATTGACGCTTGAAATACAACCATTGGATAAGATGATACCCATGCGTAATGTGACCCGCTCTTCTGGGATGACATTGCTGGGGTAATGGGGGATTGGCTCAAGAATAGGTGATGTTCGGGTGGGCAAATAAGCCCCAGAGGGAGTTGCCATCATTCATGACGAATGGGGTCGATGAAAAGGCAGAATTGGATGCTGTAGGAAAGATAAGCCCCAATACCTCTTATGTGGGAGAAGATCAGAGGCCTTTGTTACCCCACCCCAACACTGAAGATGTCCGAGGTAAGGCTCGAGCCAATCAGAATAACAAAAGATACAATATCACGTGGATTTGGGGTAAGCCATGTGGGACAGTGGGACGTGGGGGTTGTGGGGTCTCTGGTAGTACGAATATCGTATTATGTCGAAACTAAATCACTGTGATGATGCCAATGGGGCTGTAATCTTTTGCATGGCTCATTCTGTACTTATAACAATTTCTGGAGTCTGCTTCTTCTCCATTGCTAGAGTTGTATCCTCTATTTCAATCCCCAGAATAAACCCTACCAGGCTACCACAACTTTATAAACATGATCTCAACATCATGGATCGAGCCTGATACAACAGCGCGCCCTGTCGCCGTAATAGGCGGCGGCGTTCTGGGGCGTCGACTATGCATGATGTGGGCAACAGCAGGACACACTGTTCATTTGTATGAAAAGTCCCCTGAAGTTGCCAGCTCGGCCTTAAAGTACATCAACGACGCCATGCCAGAACAATCCACCAAGCTCGGCACAAAACCAGGGAGTGTATTACTCTCCTCCTCATTGCAGAATGCAGTCCAGAACGCCTGGATGGTCATTGAAGCGATTCCAGAGATCCTCCCCTTGAAAATTGAACTATTCGGCCAACTGGACCAACTCACACCACCGGACTGCATTCTGGCCACCAACTCCTCCTCGTATAAGTCCAGCGAGATGATTCAGCAGGTCACCCGGAGATACCGCGTGTGTAACGGACACTACTACATGCCTCCGGACCAGAACTATCTCGAGATCATGACCTGCGGATACACGGATCCATCCGTCATTGCATTTCTGATGGAGCAGTCCGCCGCAGCGGGATTCGCGCCCATCCATGCCAAGGTTGAATCTACAGGGCTGATCTTCAATCGGATATGGGCTGCAATCAAGCGAGAATCTCTCTTGGTTATGGCTGAAGGGGTGGGAACGGCGGGAGATATCGATCAACTGTTCAAGAGTTGGTTTCATGCTGAGGTTGGGCCGTGTGAGATGATGGATCGGGTGGGGTTGGATACAGTTTACAATATTGAGAAGCATTATGTGGAGGAGAGAGGTCTGGATGCGAAGCCTATCGAGTGGCTGAAGGAAAATTACGTGGATCGAGGGCTTCTTGGACGGAAATCTGGAAGGGGATTACTGTATGAAGAGAGCAATGGCCACGCTCAGTAGACGATTGTATTGTCCATAGTTCGATTCATAGCTGGCTACAACATGAACTTGGACAACTCAGCTTCAATTTCTGGTTTCATATTACTCGAAGAAAGTCATCATCATCGAATCCAGGCTTCGAATGCACTGTCAAATATCATGAGGAAATGGAGGCTAGTAGCGCATAGACGGGATAAAAGTAACTCCCACAAGCATTCAAGTAGACCTAGGAGGCGGTTGGAATGCACTGGGAGTAGTAGCTGTTGTAGGAACTGCACGTGGCTCCGGTAGCGCAGGCTGTGGGACCAGACCATCCACTGCCACCGCACTGGCCGTAGGCAGATTGAACAGAAGTTGAGCCGCCCGCTGTGGTCGTAGCTTTGGTTGTGGTGGCCGTGGTTGTCGTGGACAGCGTTGTAGTAGCCTTGGTGGTCGTCGGTGCACTGGTAGTTGGGGCACTACCACTGCCAGTTACAGGCGTTCCTGATGCAGTGATGGTAGAACTGGACTGCACGACTGACACAGCACCGGGAATGAGCGTTGGGCCCGGAACTATATACGTCGAAAGCGAGTTATAGATATTGACCAGAATGCCCGGATCTGTGGGTGAATAGAGCTTTGTGCCCTTCACACCAGATGGTTGCGCAGTCCCTGACCCTGTAATCTGAAGGTTAAAACACTGGGGATAGTTCTGGGCTCCGTTCTGACTTCCAGCTCCATGCAAAGCAATCAGCTCATGTCGAAGGACATAGTAGCCCGGTGCAATTGTCGGGGGAATCTCCACGAGCCACGAGTTGTTATCCGCGATCAACTGATCGTCGCCCCAGACCCCCGGTGGGGTTGAGCCATCCACCAGTCCAACACCATCAATCTTGAAGAACTCCAGAGTCGTCTTGTCTACCGTCTCGCAGCTCGAACCGCACCTAGCCAGGTAGTCAATGACCTATACCAAGTTAATACCATACCCAATTGCTTGATGGACATTTGGCTTGCTCGCATCACGACTCCGTTATTGAGCAGAGCTCCGCCGACGAAGAGAACATACTGGTCCATGGTGGGAATCTGGCCAAGTTGTCCATTGAATGGATATCTTGTCGCCAGCAGCAACCACAGCATGCCCACGCGCGTTGGTGGCATTGAGATGACAGATGATATCGTTCGTTCCATACGCATCTGGGGAGATGAAGCCATTTGCCGTGTTGGGGGTCTGCCACGCTACCACCACCGGCGGATTAGGATTGTAGGGATCAGAATCAATATTCCATCCGCGGTACGAAACACCGTTAACCACGATGTTTGTAACGTGGCCATGAGCTGTGACATGAGTGGTGAAGAGAAGTGCTGCAAGCAGCTGAGTGGATTGAACGTGTCTCATGCTGAACGGTGGTAGGTGCTTGTACAATCAGTAGAATTGATAAACAAAGAGCGAAGTGAAGTGGATTGCTTCCAGTCGAAGGAAGAGAATAAGTTGGTTGGACTTAGGTACAGGGAGAATGGCTTTATATCATACCCATTCATTTTAGCCGGGTCTACAGCAAATGAGACTGGATATCGTGATCGTTCCAGGACCAGACCGTGACATGCTGGTGCCAGAAGAGAATCAAGTCTATGCCATCCAGCTACCCAGTAGGATAGGCCGTCTACGCGCCTCGTTGAGCGAGATAGATTGCGTACCAGTGATGTAGCTTGCAAACGAGGCCTAAACGCTGCAAGTGAAAATTGCCGGTGAATAATGCAACATATACGGAGTAAAATATATCGTCGGAAACTCGGATGGCCCCAGGCTAGATTGCACCATAAGAACGACAGAATCACAGGATAGACAGGAAGACTCCACGTCAGTGTCGAAGGTCACGGACAACGGCAGGGATATTGATGTGCCGAAGATAGGTGGATATAGAGCATGATGCATGACTAGACTGATTTCCCCGGAAAAATCCTTGCAGCTGTCGGCTGTTCGTGCATTTACTCTCCGCACTCTGCAGGATACTCTCTTGTGTCCAAACTAAGAAAGGAAAGGTCCAGCCAATGCTGAGATCGCCCCGCAAATTGTATGCCCGGGTATTCGGTACCCCTTGCCGGCAGGCCTGAAGAAACTCCCCGTGTTTCATCCCTCTGCCACAGATGCCGTGGTCATATGAGCAAGGTTTGGGGGGAAGGAGACGCTATTGCGCAATACAGGCTATTTAAATAAATTCGTCATTGCAACGTCTTGGGCTGGCATATCTTCGTGATGGGATAACTCAACGTCGCTTTTCGTATTCCACAAATGACGATGCTCTTCCACGCCGTGGCTACTGGTGGACAATCTTGGACGCTGGGAAGTCATCAGACCAGGCACAGGCCCCTCGAGGTTTAGTCTGTGAAGAAGGCTATCACGGGAGAATGTCGATACATACTGAATAATTTCCGGGGTGGCCGTAGCCCAAAACTCTCGTTTAGGGAACCTGCAGCCAAGGCTAGTATGTTAGTGCTTCATCTATACCATCATATTGCCGTATCTCTTATCTCAGTCCTATGAACAGCCGTGCCATGACCCATGTGACGATGAAGGCACAACGCAAGCATTTCAGATGTCCTAGGCTATAAAATGCCTTGATTATCACAAAGGGAAGTTTGTAGCCAAGGTTGGATTCATAGCCACAGTGCAGGTGCTGTTAAGGAATGAGACAGAGTCTAAGAGGCACAAGCATCGCTGAAGGACGGAGGCTGCGTGCTGGACAACCACATTAAGGCTTGCTTGGTGAATAATAGTGGGCTTTAGGCAGCTTAGACAGGCAAAGGCATACAACGAAGCCAAAAAAAGGAGGAAAAACATACAATAGTAAGGTATGTATATGTTGGTGCTCACCCATCCTAGCATCTGTTCTTGCCACTTTGCTACCTATGTTCTAGCAGCCTTCAGGTGAATATCAAGACACCTAAATATTTTGCACCTAATAATTAAGAAGCCATGTTTTAGTAAAAGCACATAATGACACCTATATAAGAGAGAGAAGTGGCTTAAGCCTATGATATATCTATCTTACTTCTACTCCTTTATCCCTATCTCAAAACTAATCAGATAGTATACATACCTGATGGGTGAGGATTGGTTGTCGCTGGGACTTGTTAGGTAATTTGGCTGCAATACAATACTATGCTCTCTTCGTCCACTCTCTCTCTCAGTATAATTTGCATATAGAAATATTACGATTGCAGTGCAGACAAAAACGCAGAATTGCCCATAGAAGATTTTTGTAGACTATGAAACACAATCCCGTACAATGAGGCAGCACCTTATAATAAGCTAAGTCAGAACTGTCCAGTAGCCTGGCTGCGTCCAAGTAGGAGGCAACTGCTGACTATGGGGTCTCCAGCACTGAATATTACCTCAGGATATTAAGCCTGGCGCTTCTGCTTGCCACACTTGGTCAAACATTCCTCAACCTTGATGGCCATGGTCGCAGGAATAGCATGCCGGACCTTGTCAATATCCTCACCAGCGATGGTCTCCCCAAATGTGGCAGCAATGACCTCATCACTGAATGAAAATGTCTGTGCAGCGACAATACCCACGGCAAACTCATCCGAGGTAAAGGCTGCGGTGAAATTGGCAGGCTCACAGTCTGGGTTCACTTGCGTGTGAAACGACCCGGCCGGAAAGACGGTCAACATGCCAGGGCCGAGCTCGGCACGGATGACCCGTTGGTGGCCTTCAGAGTCAAGGACGCCCGTCTCCGGAACCATTTCAGACAACACACGCCCCGACGTAATGGCGAAGAGCTCAGTTGCACGAGGATGCAGGTGCAGGAAGCTCATGCTGCATGCTATTGAGATGCATTAGCGTAACTTCAACAAGTAGAGCCAATTTCGGTCAAGAATACCTGGCAATTGCGAGATGCTGAAGGATGCACCAGTGCCTACAAGGGCGGGAAAATTCTCGCTGGTGGCCACTGGAAGCGAGGCTCCGGCGAAATTGAAGACAAAGTCTTCATCCTTTGGGAGGAGCTTGTAACGTTCGATAGCACTAAACAATCAGATCATTCGTTTTGCACCATTGAGACCTTGTCGAGGAACTTACGTGTCTGCAAGTCGCAGCTGAGCTGTCAAGCTAAGTTCCGATGTCGAGCGCTTCGTGATCGGTTGAGGTGCTGTCCTCGCCAAAGGGGCAAAGGCGAGCATCACCGCGACGACGGAGTGTAGGGGAAATTCAGGAAGCATGATAGTTGTTGGAGTTGGGATATTGAGAGGAGGTCTTGTTGTTGTCAGTAACAGGTGATGATAATTTGTTATTTAGGAGGCACGAGGGTCCTTCTATATATATGTACCGACATAGCTCTTCATTCCAGCACTGATATCATACCCAACTAAACTACCAGAATGTATTCCAAATGGTATCCTTCAGCCTTGCTCATCTACTACGTATACGCATCATAGTAGTCCCAAGCAAATTTCCAATACGCACAGCTCAGCCCCCTTCCTTGGCCCTCAATCGGATGGCCATCGCAGGAATGACTGTCAGCATGTGGATATTGGCGTATCGGCGGCTTGGGCGTATTAGTAATACGCCGTGGCTCAGCCCTGTCAGCCCTATGATCTGAATCTGATCGATCCCTCCCAGCGTGCATCCCCACAATGGAGCGTGTCATGGCTTGTAGATAGTCGTATGCACTAGCCCTATCCTCGTTTACGACAGCGTAATTCCTTCTAGAACCTAAGACATGGCGAATCTGGGCCATACGGCGCTGCTTTGTAATAATACTACTTTGCATGACATTGCTGCACCAAGACCTGACGTGAGCTTCTTTGATGTCTGCGAGAACAACCTCAATCTGGTGATGACGGGTTCGAATATAAAGGTGACAGACAGCGATGAGGCTGTCTGTCCATCTTCAATACCATCAACAAATACTCTTGAAAAATCTATCAAACATCTGAACGGATTCCTTGACGGCATCCACAAAGGTTACGATGTTTACATACCTCCAACACTTCGCTATCCTGGTGCTCGGAGTTAGATTGGTCACGAGTCAAGCTATTGCAGCTGCAGCGACACAGTCGACCGGATGGAATGCGAGTTTCGAGCTCAGCCCGAAGCAGCTCGAATTGGCCAACCTGACAAGCGACCAGGGCGCCATCATCAACACTATCACCAATTTTGACCGGTCTCAGCTTGCCAATGGTGGAGCCCATGAGGATGACTTCTACAATGTCCGGGGCCTGCCCAGGGACCAATGGCCCACAGAGCCTGGGAAGACAATCAAGCTCCAGGAGTTCACAGATCCTTCACCGTTCTCCATCCCGGCAAAGACGGCCATGTCCCGTATCATCTATAGCACGACAAATGCAAATGGTACTCTGATCCCTGCTTCCGCCTATATCCTTTGGCCATTCCAGCCAAAAGTTCTCCGACAACGCAAAAACCACAACAACTCTGGGTTATCATCCGCGCCCGTTGTGCTATGGACACATGGAACCTCGGGCTTCTACGCCAATGGAGCTCCCTCGACACACCGTGGCCTTTTCTACGCGGACATTGTGCCTTTTGCGCTGGCCGAGGCTGGATACGCTGTTGTTGCCCCAGACTATGCCGGACTCGGCGTGGACGTCTCGTGGGATGGAAGTCACGTTCCGCACCAGTACTTTGTTCGCGAAGCTGGTGCTCACGACGCTCTGAACGCTTTGAGAGCAGCGCGGGAGTCCTTTCCCAGCCACCTTTCCAGCGAATATGTTGTCATGGGCCACAGCCAAGGCGGCGCGGTTGCCTGGGGCCTGTCTGAAATTCTCGCGCGGAACGATAGCAATAACAAGTTTGAGGATATTGGGCAGGGTTATCGCGGTGCGGTTCTCGCTGCTCCGCCAACTGATGCGCTATCGTTTACCTCTGCAGGTTTCCTAGCGTGGATTGCGAAGGATCTGAGCCAGATTTACCCGTCTTTCAACCTGAGCGACTGGTTCACGCCTCTTGGCGTGAGTAGAATAGAACTCCTGAATCAGATTGAAGGATCCCAAATGGTCACATTTGCCATGTTCAGTCCTGAAGAGGCGATCTTGCAGCCTGGTTGGCACGAGACTTGGTACGCCAAAGCTTTCAAGCAACTCACGAACCCTGGAAAGCGGCCCTTCAAAGGACCAATTCTTCTCGTGCAGGGAACAGAAGACCCAATAGTGCCATATGACTCGACAAAGGCTACAATGCAAGAGACATGCAAGAGCTACCCGGGGGATATGGAACTTTTGGCTGTACCCCAGGCAAGTCATTTCGCCGCCATCAACGCGGCGAAGCAGACCTTGTTGCGGTGGATTGAGGATCGATTCGAGCACCGACCTGTGGACAGGCGTGGTTGTGTCGAGTCCCAGTTGGGTAGCCTGTTGCCTCTTGAGTACTATCAGGTGCGTTCAAATTCTTTCCCGCTATGGGCTGGGGAGTCACATTGGTCTTATGAATTACCGACTGCATTGTGATTTTGAAACTGGGGAAGGGAGGAAATGAAGCATGAATTGAGTTGGTCAGCCAGAGAAAGTCCCTTAGCTGGGCCCATTTTGATGTTTGTATTGTTAATATATTATCATTCCCTGGGATAGATAAAGTACACCGAGGCCAGTTCTATATCACACTCTCCTACTACGATGCTGCAAATAGAGTCATATAATACGCTTATATACGCCATGCCACAACCCTTATCCAGAACTGTAACCCTATGTCCATGTTGACTTCGTTGATAACCACAGCCTCAAACACGCTGCGCATGAATAGTAATCGGCATAAAATAATTATTTCAAGATCTACCAGTGCGAGGCACTAGGAGTTAGCTCCCGCTTAACTAAGTACATGGTCTCGGGCCACCACGTTTGTCCAATATCTGCTGACTGGCTCGGCAGATCCTGAGTCTTCATTAATGATACAACCTGGCCAAGCTCCCACTCTCCAATATCACTAATCCACCAGACGCCATCCAATAAAATAACAAGGACCAGCCAATGGGCAAAGATATCCATTGCTAGTAAATGCGCCGCGTCGAGCAGCGGTACCTCCGTCCCGGGTGAGTCTCGTGCCATCCAATTCTCAGCCCTCGCCTCCGCGGAGGGTGAATCAAGCACTGACTGGACCAGATTAAGATACTCAGCCGGTGCTTTGTTAAGAAAAGACATGATGATCCGTCGGAGTATCTGCGGCGACTCCATCGAAGTGACACTGATCATGTATCTTGCGACCCATGGTGAGACTCTACATAATCCACCACCTGATGTTGGCTGATATCTTGGTGGCTCGACGCTTGTGCTACCTTCTCTTCTGGACAGAGCTGCACATGCACATCTCTCAAGTACGGATACAGTTTCCAAGCACGCCTGTAGCTGTAGTGAGTCGGCTGCACAAAGTTCGGACCTTTTCAAAAGAGCGGTTGTCAATTCAGCTCTCCTGCGTAGACTCTCAAGAGCTCGATTAAATGTAGATGCGACTAGAGGCAGAAATAGGCGCTTCGTGTTCTCGGATGGACCATCCTCTGGTGATAAACCATCTGTACTACAAGAACCCAGACTCGGTAATTCTGATCGTGCATCTAGAATCGGGCTGGAGGTGGCGGTACAAATTTCATCTGCGCCGGCCACAAGACCGTTGAGAATTGCAGTCGACGCTGTATGGGCAGCGCGTGTGAATGAGATCCATTGTGAGTGTTGCGGAAGCACCTCATTTGGCAGCCGCTGCCTACACTTTTTTGCAGCGGCCGCAAGATGCACTCGGATGGAGTGGCTAGCAGAGGCGTACAAGACCATCAATGCTGCGTTTGCAAGGACGTGATCGTACGAATCCGAGTTCTGCATGGTCGTTTGTATGTGGCGCAGGGAAGCCTGGTGATGGCGCTCCGCAAGCGCAAGTAGCTTCTGAATATCCATTAGGGTCTGGGGGTCCAGACGCGCTTGGGCTCGTTTAGCTATATCGTGCGAATTGCAAGCTGCTGCCAGGGCTAACAAGGATGACATGACCACATCGGAACTGAAAGCAAGATTTGGCACCCCTACCGAAAGAGCGTAGAGATCAAGATCATCGACAGGTATAGATCGGCTGGTGTGCGTGAGGTAGTGGCTCAAGAGACCGAGTTCTATCGTATCAAGAGTACCAGGAGTGTGCCTAGTGTGCCTATTGAAAGGTGGTCTTTCATCCGTACTCAGACTTGAAAAGGAGGCAGGTTGTTCACCAGACAAAGGACTGGGAACCGAGGACTGATCACTCGAAGGTGCTAACGGCGACACACAGTCCGGGACTACAGTACTGGGAATCGGTGGGGAGACAGGCAAACTGGGAACAGGGAGTTGAGTCGATCCCTGCTCCATTGACACGTTGCCATCACTGAAAGGGTTCTGGTACCGACATGTATACATGCGCTTGGCACATCTGGAGCAGCTCGGTCTCAACTCATCGCACTGGGGCGATATGATCAGAACACTGCGTGTAGAGTCATTGAGATGGAGAAACGACCTACCTTCTTCCGCTGGTGCTTACATCTGAGGCAACCGTCCCTAGATTTCTTGTGTGTTTTCCGGAGTCTGAATCCGGTCGCCTGCAGTTCCAGGAGCGTCGTATCGCCAGCCATATTGTCGACGCCACTAGATTTCGCGAATCAAGATATCGGCATAAAGGGGAATCGGGGCGTATTAACCAAGTCGTGTCAGAGCCGGTCTTCCATGTCTGTCGAGAAACCCTTGGGAGCAACTACCGAATTTCGACTCGGGGTCCCATTCTGGAGTCTTCTTTGAGGCTGAAAGTGCATCAGCCCCACGAATGATGACACTCCCAAGCAGAATCAGCACTAATATGTCCCACTCCCGCCTATTAGGAGGATCAGTCATTCGTGGGAGGCAAACTATTCGCCCCCAGCTATTCCAAATCATGTCCGAACTTAGATTAGCTTATTCTGACAGCCGTTGGCCTTTGTCATTGTTCTCTTCTTTAGTCAGTATAGTCTCCAAATATCGTCTCTCCTATCGACCCTTTGATACCTACCTAAGAATAATTAGATAATATACCATGAGAAGCATTAGCAAATATTTATACTTGATTAATCTTAATAAATATGATAATAAAGAGATTAAAATGTAATTCTTCTATAAACATCTAACTTCAAACACGGGAAGCTCTAATGCTCTATGTTCCGAACCTCGAGTTCCTGAGAGCGCCAACTACGTAGCTCCCGGACACCTTGCATGAGCGCCATCATGTGCATTTCCTGATAGCCAGCATGCCTCGAGGTCAGTCGTGGACAACCAGCGACGGACGGCGCTGCCGTCAGGGCCTGAGACAATCCAGGTGCCGTCTCCTAGGGGCTCGAAGTCATAGTTATCACGCGAGTATGCCTCGAAGCGGCCGCGGGGTGTACCTGTGCGTAGGTCGATGCTATAGTGGTGGTGCCACTCCTTATCGTCCTTCTCGCCCCCGATCGTGACGACCGCGATGCCCGCATTGAGGAAGCCGCCATTCCAGTCCACACGTGCTTCATCATCCCCAAAATACTCGTAGCCAAATGCTTCGACTGGTACCCGCAGTACTACCTCGCCACTAAGAAAGACATGAAAGGCGACGTCATACCGGCCATGGTCGACCGTCATGAACCACTGGCCATCGGGCGCCACGTCGACCAAGCAGCGATCGTCCCACCCATAAGAGTGTAAGTCGATGTCAGCGCCAGTGAATGCTGCTCGGTATAATTTAACGCCGTCCTGGCCCTCGCCTACGTCTAGCAGGATATGCCGCCCGTCGGGATGTAGGACGAGCTCGGCTCCCTCCCCAACGCTATCCAGCTCTGTCCTAGCGACTTCCTCGCCTGTGTCGGCGCGTAGCACGACTAATATATCAGGGCCCCGATCGGCCATCGCGTCGGGGCGATACACCCACACCCAGGCCCCGTCCAGAGAGAACATGCAACTGGGATCACGCAAGTAGCGCTGGATGGAGCGAGGTTCTAGGTCATAGTGCCATAGCAGGTCACTGTTCTGGCTGATGCACACCACGCTGTGGGAGGTAGTGTAAACAGCCCAGTCCAGGCTCGGCGCCACCGCATGGTTCGGTCGCTTGTCAGAGCTCTCGACCCTGTAGGTCGCCGACGGCTCTAGAGGCCCGTACACGCTACCAGAAACATGGTAGGCACGTATCTCCCCATGTAGATAGCGCGTGGTTGTCAGCTTCATATCTGCTGATTATCCCTGACGTGGGCTAAGTCGACAGTCAACCTTGGATGGCCAGGGAGTCTGGTAACCGAAATCCGAGTGGAATAGACCGTTTTCGCAACAGAGTTTTGTGTGACAAATACAGTAGTGGATAGTCAACTAAATATCTGGTAGCTAACGGAAAATGTCAAGATGTCTGATTACTACCTACCCCTGAATCTTGGCAAATTTACAACGTAATTCGCAAGCGAGCCTGCGACCCAACTAAAGTCATAATTTTGATTTGCATATACTACCATCTTCCAGCATCCACTGTAAATTACTGGAGCCCGATTCAGTAGAGTACTGGCGTAATTGTGATCTCCACCGCGGCCGATGTTTTAGGTTCAATAGGGCGTTGCGTGGCCTATATCAACGGTCAACCTACACGCCTCTAAAGCATTCGGCCTAGTACAGAGTGGATCGAAATTAATTTGACCACTCTTTTCACATTAACGTAATCGGACACCGAACGGGCCACGACACCGAGCGGGCCATCGGAAACCATGATTTTGATTTTGGCCGACGCCAAAAAACCATAAGATATCTTACTACCACACAGTCAATTTAACAGAAATTTTTGAATTATCTGGATCTACTAGGGCAGCTGGTTCTAATATGACTAATTTAATGGCAGTTATTGCATTGTGGTGGCGCATGCTTTCTGGGAACTGATTCCACTAAGTCCATTGCCTGCATGGCTTCTTGAGCAAGTTGCTGACCTTCAGATCCTGTCAGAATACCCCTAGTAGTAATAAAAGATCTTAGGGCTGTATGCTTCTGTTTTTGCTTTTTATTTACTGTGTGAAGCTCAGTTATCTAGTGTTGTAATAGAATGACTTTATACATGGTGGATTCAGCTGCTTTTGCCAGCTGATGAACTGCTTTATTTAGTGGGCTTTCAGAGTTACAACTAATAAGTTATTTAATAAGCTGCATCTGCTTTTGTACCTCCGCAGTAGTATAAGGAGTTTTTGCTATCTATTCCCTGTCTCCATCTAAAGGCCCATGAGCAGTAGAGGGTGGTGTGATATACTTAATGGTAAGCCTATCCAACACCTGTTGATGATTCAATGGAACTAGTCCAGAAGCCCTAAATCCACTGCTGATATTAGAAGGTGATAATGCTTTTCATGCTTCCTTGTAGAGATCCAGAAAGTTCTCTTTATTAATATGATGAATGCTATTTTGAATACTGCGCATCACCTCTGCACTATATACCTTCTTTAGGGGTGCAAAGCAGCCAATATTAAGTGGCTGCAGTTTATCAGACGAATGGGAAGGCATATATAAAGGAATGATTTGATGATTCTTGCAGAATAGGTCAAACTCTGCAGATTCATGGCTAGTATGACCATCAAGTATCAGAAGCCAATATTTTCCTTATGCACGCGTCATAGTATGCTTCTCAAAGACTTTTTCCAACCATGATAAGCCAAGCCCATTATTAGTCCATCCATTATCGCTCACACCAATCAGCCAGTCAGGGTCTATATCTTGATACCATTGAGACTGATGGACCTTGCCAGAGAAGATGATCATGGGGGGCAGAGGCCACCCAGAAGCATTGATACATTCAATGACAGTAACCCATTCGCGATTCCCTGGCTGTACAGCTTGTACGCGGCTTGTTCAATAGCAGGATGCAGTAATGACCTTTGCTGTATAGGCTACACCCATTTAAAAGCCAGTCTCATCAAAGTTGTAGATATCCTGTTCAAGAATACCATATTTTACTATAGTATTCTGAACAAGATCAAACCACTAGTTAATGATCTCAGGATCCTCACATTTTGCGCGTTGATAATCATACTTGTGAGTATACTTGGATGTGAGCTCATCATGTCATTTAATGAATCTAGTGATCCATCTTTCACTGACAGATTCCCCATTTCTCTCATGTAGTAGTATATCCGCCATCTTACATACCATAGCATGAGTAGGTAGAAGACCTCGCTCATCCATATCTAGAATCCACTTCTTTAGGGATGCTTCTTCTAGATTAGTAAGCTTCTGGCAGTTTGCTTGTATATCAACCCGTGCTTTTCAACCACTGATTTAATAGGTAAGGGTAGACCTTAGTATGTCGTATGCTGCTGCTGCAGCTCATATGCTTTTAAACTGGCCATTTTTATATGCTTTGACTGCAAGGCTGATTCTATCTTCTAATACAAGCACTGATTCTTCTTATTTTGATGCCATGTAGGATGGAAAAATTGATTCAGTCATTGGAAGATCCAGGGGTGGGAGAAGTGACCCGCTCAGTGTCGTGGCCCGTTCGGTGTCCGATTACGTTATTAGTAGAGGCTTACGCCATCAGGAGCTGTTGAAGCAGTTGTTCCCCTGCAAACAACTGACAACTAGCTAGGGCGGTCGTTTGCCGATGATTTCGCTCGTTGAGGTCGAATAATATCGAACTGAAGTCACGGACAACATAGCGCTCTCAAGCCGGAGAGTCGACTTGTTATAGAACACAGTCGGTGCAATTGCCCCAAGCCACTACTACGGGCCAGATGGGCAGATATACAGTAGCTGCAAGAGAACAGGCCATACGGGAGATGACCCTCCCATCTCGCTCAGCACGATGCCATCATCAGGCTCTCGAACTCCATCTCATTTGAAGTGCGCTTTCTGGAGTCACGCTTTTCTTTGGTTTGATGAATGCTATTGACACCAGACTCGGTCCATTGTCAGTAGTTACCGGTAGAAGGAGTAGACCCCATGTGAGAGTGCGAGTGCGAGTGCAAGAATGAATGCTGCATAAGTTATAATCACCTTCGATCATATGCTCTCAGAACGCACCGGAACTCCAAACCATGCAAAGATAATCAAAGGGAGATTGACCGTCCTTGAGTCCTTGACCTGGAGAACTATCTAAGGCTGTATGCACCGCCATTAAGCCAGCGCCAAATACCGGTGGAGCATCCTCTGAATGGCTGCCTGGAGAGCCTGAATGCCTGCGCTCGTGATGATCCCCGTTCTTGGCACCAGTAACTCCTCGTTTGCCTGCGACAGAGTTCTTGATCTACTCCATATTTTCTCGTCTTCTCTTAGATAACTTGCCTCTGATGATCTCGATCTCCTCACATGGCGGAAAATATAGCAGACACCTCTGCGGTGCCCTCTGCAGAGCCAGCTGCTGCGCCTGGTGATGGTTTTTGTCCCCCCACCACGACTGAGGGGACAGAAGTTGCCAGGAACAATGACGTCACAGTAGCGGATCGGGAGAAAGCAGCTCGTCTTATTCAGGTACGGAGTACATCTTCTATTTAGTTGCCATAAGCAGCATTGTTCTGATTTTTGTTTATGTGTTTTACATGTTTAACCTGACGGTGTAGAGAACTTATCGCGGATATCGAACGCGACGTGAACTACAGGGGTTGGGGCTGAATGCATCTGCGCGATGGTCTGAGGTAATGCCCTTTTGAGGATCATACTCCGACCAGACTCCTTACATCTTCTGTCAGGCTTTAAAAGAAGCAAGATGGCGCGAGCTCTATCGTCCCTCCGTTTCGCCAGAGGGCGCAGGCGCAGACGCCTCAAAACAAGTGCACCAAAAATGGGAAAGAGTCGTCAGCGTCGCCATGCAAGCCGGCAGTGATGACGGCAAGTTCAGGAACGAGGCCGATTCTTCAAATCTGCCCACAGCTAGTCCAATCGCTACAGGGCGATCCTCGGAAAATGCGCCAGCGAATGCTTCTTCCACTTCCAGATCGCGATTTCTCCATTCATTTCCCATACTCCACCACGGAGTACCATCTGAGAAGATGGCCAAGATGATGGATCAACGGTACTTTCTCGAGATGGTTGATCTCAAGCATCGTCATGGCAGCAACCTGCGCAAGTATCACAATTATTGGAAAAACTGTCCCTCGACCCAGAATTTCTTCTACTGGCTTGATCATGGCGAGGGGAAAAATTTAGATTTGCCTGAATGTCCCCGTGCGAAGCTGGAGCATCAGCAAGTGCGCTATCTCAGCCGGGACGAGCGGCTGAATTATCTGGTCACGGTAGACCAGGCAGGTCTCTTCCGCTGGGCAAAGAATAACGAGCTTGTGTGCACGGATAGTACACGCTTCAAGGATAGTCTCAAGGGTGTTGTGCCGATTGATGAGGACGCGCCACAGTTCAGAGGTCATTCCGAGGCTGGTTATCCGGTTGCGTATTCGTCAAGCTCGTCTTCCATATCAACTCAGTCGCCGACTGATGAAGACTCAGCGGATGATAGTCCCAGCGAACAGATCAACCAAGGTTATGAGGAAGCAAAAGGGATCCACAAATTAGCCCATATCACACCGTCGGTGGTACGCGACCATTTTGCTCGCAAGCCCGCAAAGAGAAAGGACATGTGGTTATTTGTGAGGCGACTTCTTCCTATCATCAGGCACCTAGAGCGACCCATGACTGACAATGACACAGGTCGCGGACACTTCATTTCGTCTGTACATCGGTATCAAGGAAAAGGGAGCCTTCCAACATTCCTCATTTCTACGCGGTGCGCGCGTTGCGGCGGCAGGTTTGATCAAGATCTGGAACGGTCGGCTACGCAGTGTAACGCCTTTGAGGTAAATTAATATTCCTTTCTTCGCTCTCGACAGATGAGACAGCAATAAATACTTACGTTTCAGTGGCCATTACCGTCCGCCGTCGGCCAATTTCCGCGCCTTCGTTCACGCCTTGCAGGATCAAGGTGTGGATATGTCCCATGTTTCCATCACAAAATCGTACGCCATCCTTGCAGGCATGGAGGGATACGTTCGGACGAAGCACAAATTGCGAGCCCTGCATGAGACACTGGATGGTTCAAAACAGAAACTTCTTCATGGGCGACAGAACGATAGACATGTTGAGTCGGATGCACAGGTGTCGGACGAAAAATCCATCCATAAAGACCAGGCCGAATGTTCATCCGCAGTGGCTAATGAAGAAAGCTTGAGTGTGAACGATAAGAAAGGGGACGGTCGGACGTTGCCTGCAAGGGTGAAGATCCACCAGGCCTCCGCTTCGCAGGATCCGATAAACCCCAGTGATCAACCTGCTACCATGCCAGATGATGATCAATGATACCCAGAATGCGTAGATATTTGATGTTAGAACTGCCATGGATATTGGCCCCTCTGACCAGCCAAAGAGTCATCGGCCGTAGTCATCTCAATGAGAATACATAATTCTGACTATTTCCTTCGAATAGGCCATTTTTCATGTTGTATAGTCCATTGACAATGCGCCTTCTGAAAGATCAGGCTGTGATTTCGTACGACATATCTGCAGCTCTCGGCGCCAACCTCAACGAATGAAGTGCTAGCAGCAAAGACCAACTCGACCATTGTACCAGCTGGAATAAGCGCGGAGCAATAGAAAGCGCGTCCCAGATCTATCAGTTTATAGAAAGATGATCCATGCTACGGATCAGGTTCTCTAGACCTTCGGCCTTGAATTCGGATCCTGCGGCGGACTCGCTAGGAACTGGAACATGGTGCACGACATAGTCTGCAGATAGAGAGGAAATATCTGTGGCAGTCCAAAGAGTGGTGTTCAGTTGTTTAAAAATCACGGTCACCTTTGTGGGTATGAGCGACTCGTCGAGTTTGCTCGCCTTGAGTACAAGCTCAATCGTCCTGAGAAACGCTGTGCACAGCCTGCCCCAACCAAGACTCATATGCCAGAGACCCACCACACAGCTCTCCAAGATAAGACTCCATTTCGGCTCCTGGGGTTCCAACTGCGATATTGTATGGACCCCTGCCAGGCAGAAATAGTGAAGGAACACAAGAGGAATTGACTTCCATCCGTGATGTTGTTTGTACCGCAGAATGAGAGACCCAACAGCATCTAGGGCCCGAGACTTTACACTCCAGGGATCGAACCATGCCAGATTCGATTCGTCATTGCGTGTCACCTTTGAATATAGGATAAACATATCACCTAGAAATACAAGGGTGGCTTGGTAGTACAAGCTAATAGTGATTGTTAGGACCACTTCTTAGAAATCAGAAATGTGGTCGAGGGACTCACTGCAAACATAGTATATGTGGGGTTGTGTTGGATTGGGGCATCGCACATGACGGCAGGCTGCTCATCCAATCGCATAACTTCTGATGTTGCTGACGAGCGTACTGCCAATCGTCGCTTGAAATGCCGGTCTTCGAAAATTTAATGCCCGCTATAGCAATCTCATGAACAATCATCACGAGAGCGCTGCGGTAGCAGGCGGCAGTGTAGTAAAAAGGCTGTTGAACCGGAAATTTAAAAGGGTAGGGGCTCCACTCGGCGCCTTCATCCAGTACTGCCGCCTCGTGTAGGGAGAAGCATACAGCTGGCGGCTGTTCCCAAACTGGCATCTTCCTATAAACCTGTGCAGCTAGCCTACAGGCAAGTTAACAGAGCTGAAGAGGCATTGAACGGGGTCCGGAATATCTCACGCTTGCACGTCGAATACGGCCCAAGCGACCAGTTTATGGCATCTTGATATTGGGCCTAGCTCATCCCGGTCAACGTTGCTGTAGAGATACGCCGGTGACTCGCAGTGTAGGTCTAGTTTGTGACATAGCTCTGCGCCGTGAAGGATATATTTCGTTCCCAGTCTATCGATACCCAGAGTACAACAAAGGATGCCAATCAAGATACTGGACTGCGCAACTGGGAGGTTCAGCTGGTCCTTCTCGATTTGCCAGAGGTGCTGAATCTCAGCGTATAACTTTTTGCCAAGTGATTTTTCCTCTTGTCGATCGGTTATCCGGTCCAAACTGTAGGAGGAGCTCTGCATCAAAGTCAGTCGACGGATACGACGATGGAGCGAGTGACATTACACAGCCAAAAAAGAGAAGGGTGTGGACCAACAGTGGAGAGCAGAATTTCCTGGACCCACTCGCTAGGTCTCTGAGAAACAGATGCTGATCAACAAGTTGCCATGTGGGATTTTCCCACGCGAAATAGAGCGAAAGAAGATGGCTTGCGACCTCATCGTCCACAAGAGAAGTCCAAGCTCGAATGCCCTTGGTCCGGAGTTGTGGTTCTTGGCATAAGTGCGACGTTCTACTGCCATTCCTCCTCGCCCATGCCATATGCATGCGATGCAAAGACAGTCCTGGGTTTGGCGGAGAAGGCTGTTGCTCAAACAGCGACTTCGAGCCGAGGAACGAAGAGAATACTTCTGGTGAAGCAAGAAAGTGTTTCTGTCACAACTTTAGCACGGCCAGACACGGGACAATAAGAAAGCGCGGCGATAGGGGCAAGCAGAGAGACTAACATGGAATATCTCCTCGATGGAGGTGCGACCTTCTTTTCGGCTTTCGTCGTAGATCCGTCGCAGCACTGATTCGTAAACCTTGACCTTCGCTCGGGCACATTCAATCGCAAGCTGCTGTCTTTCGCGTTTGGAACAAGAATAAGTACAGGCAATTTTCAGTAGCCGACACTGTTTGCAAATCGGTTTTGAGCCGTCACACTTGGTTTTGCGCTCACGACATAATTCACAGGCGCGCGGTGTGCGTTGGCGGCTGATTGGGGTAGAGCCCAATCGCGGAATGGGAAGCTTAGGCGCAGGCGAAAGCGTTGCAGGTCTGCTGCGTTCTATGACAGACAGTTGTTGCCCGCTGGAACTCGAGGGACTTGGGAGCTGATCGACAGGCTCTTGCGATCTACTGTTGGTGGCCGTTGAATACATAGTTGCGAGAGACTTGGCATCTTTGGCCACGATAACTTGCAGCGGTTCCGGCGCGATTGGAATTGCGATTCAGTCAACAGTGGCGGCTACATATTAGACAGTACCTAGACGAGAATTCGATTCTGATCGACATTGCCTTTGATACTATACCATATGATCGTCATCTCATTGAGGACTGCGACAACGATGGTTGAATCAGTACGGGTAGGTGCAGAGATGGACACCCCATCACAGCCAGAAATAATTGGATTGAGACATGCCAAGCCTGGCCCAGCTTATTACATCATTTCTCATTTTTCGGTACAAATTATTGGATCGGAATTAGCGACATTGACCCATTGACCCATTGACCCTGGGGAGGTTGGTGCGGTCCACTCGGGCGAGAATTGGAGAAGAGAATACAGTAAACCCCTGATATAAGCAAATAATTCAGACAACCCCTTTTGCTTCCTTATATCGAAATTTCCTTATAACGTAATTCCCGGCCAAGCGAGACACCCGGCCAAGCGAGACACCCCATCCAAAATCGCGTCTTCCTACCTACATAACAACTTCAACCACCTACCATGCCACCAATTCGCTCTGAATCTCAACAGAAATCGGCCAATCAGGAGGGCAGGATCTTATTAGCTCTTGATGATATTAAAAATGGCCGCATCAAATCTCTCCGTGCAGCAGCGAAGTTATATGAGATACTGCCTGCTACACTACACCACCGCGCCCAGGGACGCCTTCCACGCGTTGATCAACGCCCCCCTGGTCATAAATTGACTAAATTAGAAGAGGATTCGCTTACTGAGTGGATTATCTCTATGGATACGCGTGGAGCAGCGCCTAGACCTGCTACTGTAGCAGAAATGGCTAATATCCTTCTTGCTGCGCGCGGAACCAACCCTTCGCCTACTGTAGGCAAGAATTGGCCATCAGCCTTTATTAAGCGACGTGATGAGCTTCGTACACGCTTTTCAAGACGTTATGATTACCGGCGTGCCCTAAATGAAGACCCAAAATCACTACGAGAGTGGTTTGCAACTGTACAATGCATTATTAATGAGAATGGTATCCAACCAGAGGATATTTACAACTTTGATGAGACAGGATTTGCAATGGGTCTTATTTCAGCGCAGAAGGTGGTTACTCGAGCTGAATACTATGGTCGGCGCTCAATATTACAGCCAGGAAATCATGAATGGGTTACTGCTATCGAGGCAATCTGCGCAGATGGCTATTCACTACCGCCATGTGTGATATTCAGGGCAAAGTGCTATTGCGGGTTGGGTTGATAGCCCTACAAAGACTGGCGGTTGAGGTCTCAAATATGGCTGGACTACTGATGAGATAGGGCTTTGCTGGCTACAAAAGCACTTTATCCCACACACCAATTCGCGTGTACGAGGGCGGTTTCAGCTTG